ACAGAGCATCCTCAGAGCATGGTAAATAGTGTCATTTGCCTGAAACATGTAGGGAGCTTAAATGTTAGTTGTTAGAATAAGGAAGCCAAGAAGACTTTAATTGGGACGTCAAGGCAATAATTTTGTTACCTATGTTTAATGTCATGAGTGACAAGATTAAAGAAGTGTGTTAAAAAAATTTTAATGTGGAGGCACTATGATGTGTGGGGATGCTTTCCCATTTTCTTCATGGGCATTAGACACTCGATATCAACTGCCACACTCTATCAAGTTCAATGTAGAGTATCCACACATAGTCACACATGCATAATTTTTGGATCAACTTTGATTTACATTTGACCATTTGACAAAATATTAGTACATGTAAACTTTTGCTATTTTTGATTCAGCAGGTTGTTTTTCCATTTGATATATAATATTCTAAAGGTTTTCAAAGACCCTGAAGGCCCAAGACATTTTCTCCATGTAGCACAATAATGAAATAGCTCTACAAAGAAAAAGACTTGAAGGACCAGAAGTCTAGAAATGTGAGCACTTTGATACATATAAAAGTAATATAAACATGGAACTATATTCTTAAGAAGGAAAACTTGTTTAAAGCATTCAGTCACAAAAACAGCACATATATCTGAGAAATCAGTATAATCACCCATTCAGGCAGAATGTGTGTCCTTAGAGTGATTTTATGTTGAAAGCCCCAATAAACACAATTTAGGTAACTTTTTCTAAAAGAGAGCAAAGAGACCCAATTTTAATGGTTTGTTCTCTTGTTTTTAGATGCCATGACTAATTTTATCTTTAGTTCATTAGTTTGGGGATCATGACTTATTCATTTATACAAATATTTATTAAAACTATGATGTTCTAAAATACAAAAAAAAAAAATTATTCTTGGTTTGTGTCAATTTGGATTTCAGATACCATCATACAACATTCTTAGGAAGAGAAAGAGATGAAACTCAAAAGAGAGTTGTACCTAAGTACAATTAATGGAGTTTGATGCTGCTTTTTGGTTTTATGTGATGATTTTGTACTGAACAGTTAGCAAATTTCATAAATAAGCTTCCAAAGGTCAAAATGCTTCTCTATTCCGTTTTTCTTTAAATCTAGTCACAAGATTAAGAGATCAAATTTTGATTTTGCAGAGAATAATCCTACTTTTTAAAATTAGCCCATTAGGGTTCGATCCTCAGCACCACATACAAACAAAGATGTTGTGTCCGCCGAGAACTAAAAAATAAATATTAAAATTTAAAAAAAAAAAAAAAAAGAAAAAAGTCATTGCTAAAGTTAGTCAACAAATGTTTTAAGTAAATGTTATGCATAAGCACTATGAAAAAATTACAAAGGTCTTTACAATATTGTTACTGTCTTGTAAAAACAATAATCTAAAGAGTTGAGACTTTTATTTTCTTAGATGTGACCTTAAAGTGACTCTATAAACTATTTGTCAAACGGATCTCTTTAGTTAGCATTTAAAAGCAAAAATATATGTATACTAATCATGTGCATTTTAAAATTTAATACACCCCTATTACACTCTTTTCTTGTATTTTCTTTTAAGCCTATATAGAAATTGATTAAAGTTACAGAAACCCTTATTATTCTTAAGACCAAATGAAACTCTGCATTGCAGTCTGTCTGTTCATCCATAATTCAGGATCCCAGCCTAAAACATTATGCTCAAACAAGCACAAATATTGGCAAAGGTGAAATATTGAACTGCTACAGTAGCAGCTAAATTATGTAGCAATCTGTGTGTGTGCTTGAATTCCCTAGCACTGGGAATAAAAATTTTAAAAAGAAAAATATTCAACAATTATAGTTATAGACTAAATAAGCAAGATAGTAAAGCCATTATTTAAAGTGACGTTCTCTTTATTTGTTATTCATGGTTCTGAAATGACAGTAAACCCAAGAGGAGAAAAAACAAAAACAGGAGTTACTCATTATCTATCCAAGCAGAGAAAAGGGAATTCTAGAAGAATGTGCTTATGGACTCGAACTTTGAAAATGGCAAGCAAGTCTGATTCTATTTAAGCTTATAGAAATTTATCTTGCCTCAAATAAATTTCCTCATTTGTCTTAATTATCTGGGCAATAATGCCAGCCCTCCACTTATTAGAACCTCGTTCATCTGTCTGGAGGTTCCAGCAAGCCCATAAATACACTTGGTAAATGACAGGTCTCTTCTCTCTGGGAGGGCTGGCCCCTGTATGGGTGCAAAGCATCAATAAGGGTACAACAGGAGAATCAAGAGCAGGAAAAATGCCCCTTGCCCATTGAATCAGCAGAATTAACCCAGAAGATGGATTTGTTAACAGACACACCCAACAGGTCACTTTCACTTCCTGTCATTTCACTTCACTTCCTCTAATGCAGACTAGGTGTGTCGCATTTTGTAGCAATGCAGACCTTACATTTGTGGCCATCGGTAATCTATATACAGTAAATAATTGATGCTCATGAATTTTCTTCCTTCAGGATTTTAAGGCTTGTTATTCTAACTTTGTCAGGTATCCTTCTGATTTGTTATAACTTTTGTAGAAAGGAAGAATAATTAATACAATAAGTATAGTCACCTCATTATGTAATAGAATTACTAGTGTCATACATCACTGAATACATTAGACCATTAACATTCTTCCCACAATCTAGGTGATTAGAAAAATTTTCAAGAAAGATTTGCAACAACTTATCAAGCTGTGCTTTCTTATGCAATGTTCTTCTGTGACTACTGGAATAGCTCAACATAGCACAGCTATTCAAATAGTTTGTGAAACGCCTTTAATATATTATCTCCTAAGATTCACAACACAATTCTGAAAGAGTCTAAGCTGGGTGGGAGCTGTTCATATTTTGCAAAAGGGGCACCCACATGCATGTGTGTTAAACAGGGAATCCACTGCCATGGGCCCAGTGTGGAATGGAGATGGGGACTACTCTCTTTCCCCCACTCCATACATTTCTCAATAAAAACCACTTATACATCCATTATTAAAAAAAAAAAATCAAGCCATCAGTATTCTTCATTCTCCTCTCACCCCAACCATAGCCTTAATAAAGAGACTTCCATTCACACCAAGGTCTGAATGATGGGTAGTGATTGCAGGACCAAAGTCTGATGCTAAGTGATTTCAACTTTTCGCTTCACAACATTCCTCTATTGTCAATGTGTTTCTCATCTACAGAAGTTTCACATTTAATAAACTTTTGGGGAAATCTGCTTTATAACCTAAATTATCTTTCCTATACTTTTGTACTTTTGTAAGAGACCTATAGGTTTCCTTTCTATCTGTTCATAGCTGCCATTACTGAAATGGTTCAGTGACTTGCCCTCTGGCACACAGTGAAGCCAAACATAGACAGAAGAATGAACTCCAAACTCATTTACCCAAATCAAGATGCTCAATAAAAATTGGAGCTCCTTGATTCTGGGCAGAGCCAATCAGATAATTTTTCAGCCTATATATATCTATATATTCAGCAGAGATCTGTTTTTTTTTTTTTTTTTTGTACCAGGAGTAGAATCCAGAGGTGCTTTACCACTGAGCTACATCCCATCCTTTTTTATTTTTATTTTGAGATAGTGTCTCACAAAGTTGCTTAGGGCCTGTTCTTTAATTCAACAAGACTCTCTTTGGCATGACAAATGGAATTGTTCAACAACAAACTCAAAACTTAAGTTACCACTCACCCTGAGGCATCACAAGTCCCCCTGGGCAGGTGAATACGGTGGGTTCACTGGCCACAGAGCACTCCATCAACTGGTTATCCTGATTTTCTATATCTATGAACATATTCTGGGCATAAATATCCAGATTTAAGAGCTCAGTGTGTATTTTGTAAGTCAGGAGTGCTTCACTGGAATTTACTGCTGTGGACATCAAATATACTATAAGCAAAGAAAGTGGGATCATGATACCATCTTGCTGTGGTAGCTGTAGTGCAAAATCACAGCAGCCATTCATTGGTAGTACTAGAAAACTTAAAAGTTAAACTGTAACATTATTTTTAAGCTCTCTTGACAAAGGTTAGAGTAAAACCCTCCTAATTGGGAAATCTTTGTATCCTGAAAGTATACATTGGAGCATTGGGATTATGACAAAAAACAAAACAAAACATTTTCACATACCTACAGGAGATAATTTATTTTATGGTTCAGGGATTATATGCATGTAAAGAAAACTGAGAATTGGGAGCTCCCCTGAGAACAGCCATAACATTTTACTATTAATTCTCTTTTAGAAGACAATCCACTGATAAAGAAAGAGCACCAGCAAGAAATGCAGGACTAGTCCATCTGTTGCCACTGATCATGACTGTCATGTCCTTCCACCTCTCAGAGCTTCTTTTGCCTCATTTTGTTAATTTTATATATATATATATATATATATATATATATAATTTTTTTTTTTTTTGCTATGGTGGTGCTACTGGGGATTAAATCCACGTGAACTACATTCCCAGCTTTTATTTTTTACTTTGAGAGGAGGGTCTCTCTATGTTTCTCAGGCTGACCTAGAAAATGCCATCATTCTGCCTCAGCCTCCCAAGTAGCTGGGTTACAGGCTTGAACCACTGCATCCAGTTAAAACAAAACAAAGCCAAATACATGCGTTCACTGTCTGGCCACAGTACATGGCTGTGTGTAGCATTGCCAAGGTCATTTTACCAGGCACTGTCATTAATTTTATTGAAGGAGGGCCTTAGTACAATTGGCACTGAAGGGCCACTTGGATCACACTAATGCAGACAGAATTCACAAAGACCCATATCTTTATCTTTTCTTTCTACCTAAACAAAACTCATCTTAAGAAGGCATGCACTTGTTTCAAACAATGGAAAAAAGATATCCACTCTATCATTTGCTCTTCTTTGCTTTGCTTTCAATTCATAAAATTAAATAAAAATCTAAGCAAATGTAGATTCTCAGTTATGTTGGTATTTGGATTTAAAAGTGTATTTAAAAAAACAATACTGAGATTTCTGCCCCTTACCTTGCAGCCTCTGCATCACATTGGCGATGTCCCGAGGAGAACGCGAGGTACCTCTGGAACTTGCCATGGTTTTTCTGTGGCATGAAACCAACACCACTGAGAGCCTCTTCCCTGAGGCAGTACAGGACTATGCCACTCCAGAAAACATGAGAGGACTTTCTAGATGTGAGGAGTCACAAAGGAATCCAAGGTACTGACAGCTATCAGTGAGTAAGGGCTTCCAAACCTTCCAAATCTTGAACCTCTTCTTCCTCTTCCTCTTCCTCTTCCTCTTCCTCTTCTTCTTCTTCTTTTTTTTAAGACTGTCCTCTTAGATGAACTCTGGAATCTGAAAAACAAAACAAGAAAAAGGTATATTAATAATTTTTAAAAATCTACTAGGTCACCATAGTGCTAAAAGGAGAACTCTCTCCATTCAGTGTGAATTCCTGATTCATTATCAACTGAAATAGCCAATGTAAAGAACACTTATAAAGTGCCATGCAAATGTTAGAAATTTATATGATATTTGACAAAATTTATATTGGACCTAAAATAAAATTGGTTGCTGGAAGGAGAAATACACTTCTTTCCATGTTTTTTTTTTTAACTATAAACTTTATCAATCTATGAATTCTATCTCAACACACTGAGTTCTACTTCTCAATTTTCACAGGTTCTCTTATCTATGCTATTTTGCAAACATATTTTGCTGTGTTTTGTTGTAATGTTTCTAGGAATGAGATCATATCCTAGCTCCTAATAACAATTTGACGAATTAAAAGAGTATAAAGGTAAAAATTATCTCAGTCTCAAAATCTGACTTTTAAATATTCTAAATTTAGAAGACAAAATGGGCCGTGTTTAGCTTTCTTCTTCCCTATGTAGAAAGACTGTAAAGTAGGTTGTAAGGCTGGGTTGAGCATGGACTAATCAGGGAGGATATTGCTCTTCTAAGTCTTGCCTGAATTCTCTGCTTTGGTCAAGTGTAATTGGTCATTCAGGAGTTGGGTGGCGAAAAAGAGGTAGACAAATATTTGGAGGAGTCTTGCCATTGAGCAGTGTACTTTTAACAAGGATTGCTAACCCAAGGAGTAGCTGGACAGGTCTTGCCATGAACAGGATAATCAGAAGAGAGGGCTGAATAATGCACCCAGAGAAAGGCACTTAACCAAGGGCCACAGAAGAGGCCCATGTGAGCCGGATGTTCTGTTACGATTCATACTACATCTCTTGGTTATGATGATGATGGGTAGGGGGAAATGGGGGTAGGAAGAAAAGAAGGGGGACAGAAACATGAAGAAATCACAGCACGTATGTGTGAAATTGCCCACCTGCCTGAAGGAAAAGGAGAATCTATGCATGCTACAAAATTATGCTATAATCTCAATGTATAGTCCTTAAAATTAGCATTATTTATGATGAATTGGTTAAGCAATAGAGTATAAATACAAAGTACAAATGATTTTTTTTTTTTTTGGTACTGGGGATTGAACTCAGGGGTTAAATCCTGAGCCACATCCCCAGCCCTTTTATGTATTTTATTTAGAGACAGGGTCTCAATGAGTTGCTTAGTGCCTTGCTTTTGCTGAGGCTGGCTTTGAACCCTCAATCCTCTATTTTAGCCTCTGGAGCCGCTGGGATTACAGGTGTGGGCCACTGCATGGGGCTGTACAAATGATTTTAAAATGGTATTACTAATTCCAGCATATATTGCACACATCTTTAAAGGATGAAAAATGCTACACACTGCTACTGCTACTGCCCTGTGCTTAAAAAAATAATAAAAAAAGGAACCATTAGAGAAAGAAGGCCTCCCTGACTGCTCACTTTGCCAGTTAGAGGGCAGAGAAGAGTAAACAGTGTTCAAGTAGTAGAGAGATAGAAAGGCAGACCTATCTTGGCCACTTGAAATCAGATTAGTAGGAGAAGGACAAAGTAGTTGGCATCTTCTAGGCTAGAAGGCTACCTCTCAGTGGGTGGCTCCCTAAGAGATTCTCAGAGGGAAAATAATTATGTATGGCTGGCCTGTCACACATCATGTCCTACAACTCTGCCAAAATTATGTTCCCATTAGCAGTTTGAATTTCCTGGGTAATATTCCTACCTGCCCATGCACAAAAGCAACCTTAACTTGGAAAAATAACAGAGAGAAAGGCCTGAGGAAACTTACAACTGGTCTCTTTCTCTAATCTGTTAGAAAGTTAGGTTCCACAAATATAAGAGTACAACTTTCTGAAATCTGTATCTAAAACTGTGTGTCTGTCAATATCATTCATCTGCATGTATTCTAAGCAGGGATAGGGAAAGCAATTCACTTCAATCCAGCTGCCCTACATTAAGTCCTGCTTAGCAGGGTTAAATGACTAAAACATAGCCCCCACCTTTAATCAAGAATTACAGAATTAAAAAGGATTTCTGCAAGTCATTGCATTACAGATCATTCTGCTTCTACCCTCTTCTAGATCACATTCATGTAACAGAAAAGATTAAATCTAACATCAGTTAATCTCTCTCTCTCCACATTAAACTCAGAAATTCCTTACTTGTCTCTAGTATGCATCCAGTCTTACAGCCAAAGCATAGGCTAACACATTGAGTGACAATATCAATGCTGGGGCTACCAAAATGAATACGACACAGGAATCTAATTTTGCAGAGCTTAGAACATAATGGAAAAGACAACAAAGAGAAAACAATACAAAAATCCCAGGAGCAAGTGCAAATATAAAGATGGAGGGCTAGAAAGGAGAAGGTTTTGCCAATCTGGGGGTTCTGGAAAATTCTACTGGGAAGGCGATAACACCTACATTCAGTCTTGGCCAATGAGTTAGAGTTAGGTGAAAATATGGACAATGCATTCCAGGTAGAGTGGCCAGTTTGAGCAAAGGTATGGGAATGAGAAGCAGCATGAATCATATGTGGAACAGTTAATAGCCTGGCCCTGAAGGCCTCTGCCAGGTGACACTCTGACAAATGAGGGAGTAGCCAGATGGTGGGGGTCCCTGTGTACATGTACAGAAGAGTGGTTCTGGTTTTCTAGGAGGCAAAAAGAAACCATCGGGGCATGTTGGGCTGGACGTGAGAAGAAATGACCTAGATGAACAGCTATGGTTTTTAAGGGTGTATTTGAAGTGGTCAAGGCAGGAAGACCAGTTAGGAAGGTTATCTCAGGAATCCAGACAGGAGAGGATGAAAGGCAGAAACTGGAGAGAGGGAAGAGGGTGAGAGTAAGACAAAGAGAAGAAACCTTCACAGGGCAAAATTTGCAAGGCTTGGTGATTGGTCAACTGGGGCTGGGAGTTTCCAGAGTGGATAAGGGAGACTGAGGCGTCCCAGAGGATGTTCAGGGTTCATGGTGCCACTAATGGAGCTCAGAGAAGAGGAGCTGCACAGGGTTTACTTCCAAGTACTCTTCCAAGTACACCATATCCTCCTAGTTTTTGGAAGGAGCCATTTCTTCATTGCTCCTTTGCCTCACTTCTGGGGAAACGCTTCCAGCTGAGTAAATGCAAAGCATCATTCACCAAGGACCCCCAGCCCACCTGAAGCCCTTCCTAAAGATACTTGCACACATCCAGCATGGTTTTCCCTCGATTCCTCTTGAGCACTAACACTCCACACTCTGGCCTACACTCTGCAGTACTGCTAACCTTACTTTAATCAGAACATGACCATTTTGCTGGAATAAGGATTAACTATAACTGTTACTATTTCCACAACTCATTTACAGCTGATATATCCCCAAGCACATATGAAGCCCTCAATATGTAGTTTTGTTTTGTCGAATCAGGTTCAAAATACTTTATGTGGGTGAGACAAACCCCAGAAAAACCCCTTACTCCCCCCCATCACAACAGAAGTTGAAGCAATATCCTTCCTTTTTCGGGCCTCAGATAAACCAATTTGCTTTTATCATTCTTTATACACAGGTCTTATATAGAATTATAATTTTCTTGCTTTTTACTGATACTTTAATTTTGTGTCATGTGATTTGATAATAAATCTAAAAATGCTAAAAAGAATACGAAAAAGAAGACTGTGATTAAGAGATACAAATTCTAAGCTTAACTTTGTCCCAACTAGTGGGTCAATTTTGAGAAGGCTCTCTGCATGAATGTCCTTGTCCTCAACAACCCACTTATTGGAGACAGAATGGTACAGGAAATGCACAAACTGGATGAAGAAAGACCAGGAAGGAGCACACTCTTAACCATGTCTCTATGATCTTAAGAAAGGTTAGCTTTTCTGAGCCTTTGTTCCTTCATCTGTAAAATGAGGTCAACTTATGTGAAATTAGGCTGAATCAAGTAGTGTGCTTGCCTAGTATGCCTGATGCCCTGGGTTCAATTGCCAGTATGGCCTAAATAAATAAATAACCGATGGCATGCCATTGAGTTTCAGTAAATCACTGGTTTCTCCATCAACTGTCCTCTGTTTCTCCATCAACAATTTGAGAAGTGGCCCCCAAATGGAAAGATGACCCCAAAGGTGTGCCCCAATTCCAAAATCAATGGTAGCATAAGGGACAACAACTACAGGTGAACAGTGATAAGAGCCTCAAACTGAGTAGTTATGTGGTGGTGTTCTGATTGTGAACATGACCTACAGAACCGGTCACCAAAGGGAGATCCAGAAAAAGCAATAAGTTTACCATCCCAGGGTTTTGAAAGGAGTTTTTAATAGATGCAGGATATTGTGGGGTGAGGAGTTAGAGAATAAAGGGTGAAACCGGGCACTTGGAGGGAAGGGGAGAATGGGGTAGACATTGATGGATCGTACACTACACCATCTCTACATCTCTCCAGAAGAAGGAACTAAGAAAATGCAGTTAAATATATTTATCATACTTAGCAGAAAGGTAATATTCCTGTATTTATTATTTCACTGCCAATATGTATTGAGAAAATATTTGTAATGGATCTCAGTGTATACTGAAATGGTGAACAAGAAAGACCAAGTGCCTCATTGAACTTACAGACCAGAGGGGGAGATGATATAAACACTATTGCCACAAATCAGACAGGGTGACTTGTAATGGAGAAGTCCAGGCCACAGTGGGGACAAACAGAACATTCAATCAATAACTGTCTGCTGCACTCACAGTGCAGGATGCAGAGGGAATTTCGACTCTGTGCTATTTGGGATTCTGCTAGCTGATTGACAGTGTCTTCTTACCACCAATACCTGTGAAAAGCACAGTCATGAAGTGTCACAACTCAACTTGTTCTGTCTTACCCAAAATGTACCAAAGGCTACCACAGCAC